AGCACGGGCAGGGGGGGGGGGAAAAACACTTTTTTTTTTTTTTTTTTTTTTTTTGTCCTTTTTGAGACTGGCCGCACCGCACTCAGCCAGTGAACGCTGTGAACCCACCGGTCATCCCTATATAGGATCCGAACCCGCAGCGGGAGTGCTGCCACGCTCCCAGCGCCGCACCCTCCCAAGTGCGCCACGGGCTTGGCCCAAACATGATTTTTTAAAAAATACACTTTGCCAAATATTCATGTGATGTCTTATATGAGGACTGACATTATGTTAGGGTATTACGGTTACAGGAAATAAACTCAACCTAGTATTGATCGGTGATTTAAATGTCAAGGAGTTAAGCCTGCAATGAAGCAGGCAATGCAAACAGCTTTGTTTGGCTGTAAAACTACCAATATTCCTGAAACAATGAGCTCATCATCAAATTCTTCGTCTTCCACACCCACCCAAAAATGTTTGTTCATTTTTGCTTTGGTTTTCCAGGCAGCTGAGAATGAAATAGAGCAGTGGTTCTCAAATATTAATATGCATGAGAATCACCTGGAAGGGTATTAAATCACAGTAAGGGGGTAGGGCCTGAGAACTGACATTTCTATTAAGATCCCGGTGATGCTGGTGATGGTGATCCAGGAACCCCTCAGATAGAAACCCCCAAGGCATTGTGGTGTAGAGCATAGGGCATAAGAAGGTGGGTTTAAATTCCGGAGCTGTCCTTATTAGCAAAGTTAATGAGTTAATTTGTTAACGAGTTAATTTGTTAAGCAAGTAATCTCTCTGAGATTGTTTCTTCCATTTTTAAGTGGAAATAATAAAATTCACTTTATTAAGGCCATTATAAGAGGTAAGTAAGATGTGTGTAAAGCACTTAGCTCACTGCCTGGCATATGCAAGTATTAGTTTTAAAAGATTTCACTGATTTCATTTACTATAAGATTTTGTTGTTAGTCATGTAAATATTTCGAATGATCTGGGCAAGCATGTCTCTCAAACAAATAATACTGTTTATTTAAATAACTGAAGCAGTTTTAAGTACTTCAATACAATTCCACTTCAGAATTTCCATGCCCTTTTTCAAGCTGGTGTGTATGTGTTTTGTTTTGTTTTGTTTTTCTTTTTATTAAACAAGTTCTTCCTCCCCATTTACTTCTTACAAGGTAGAAAGTTGCATAGTGCATTGGGAATTTCATCCTCTAATTTGGCACATTGGAATTATAGCATATTTTGATGGGTAGGTGGTAGAGAGCAGTGAAAAGGTCACAGCTAGAATGCAAACCCTGGCTTTTCATAATTCAAAAACAAATTAGTATCTGACCACAATTTTGTTTTCTTGCATTCAGAAACAGCCATATAAACATCCACATGGTATGGAATCAGAGCTCCTTCAACATGTAGAACCTAGCACCCCATCTCTAAAGAATATGATTCAGTATATCTAGGGTGGGGCCTGGTCATAGTCATTTCACAGTATCACCACAGGTGGTACAGAGATTACATTTCAAGAAACACCAGGAATGGCCTGGAATAGTCTAGACTGTATTCAAATTCAGATTCTGCTGCCTAACTAGCTGTGTGGAATTGAGCAAATTTTCCAATCTAGCTGTGTGGAATTGAGCAAATTTTCCAATCTTCTTAAATCTTGGTGTTGTTTATGTGAAGTGGCTCTATCTCATTTATCAGAGCTATATGCAGGTTATAGTGAACATACATAATGTGCCTAGAGCAGTGCTGGGCAGGAAGCACTCAGACGCTCTAGTACTGTGGTGGTTCTATTAAAAGGCCAGACATGGAAGCTGGACAGATAAGATAAACACAGAAGTTCGTAGGTGAGTAGCACTGATATGAAGCCATTTGGCTCTGTGAATCCATAAAATATTTATTAAGCCATGGGGAAAGAGAATTCTTCAAAGATTATGTTAAAGTGACGGATTTCTTAAAGTGCCTTCAGATCAGACACATTCACAGCTAATTTCTTACTTGTTATAAATTCTTTTTTTAGATTCAAAACTCCTTTTTTTGGATGCTTTAAAAACAAAGATTGCATTCAATCAAATTGTTTAGTCCAATCTATTGAATCAGCAATCATTTTTTTCTGTGCCAGAACATTAATTTTCCATTCACTGTAATGTGGCAAGATAATGTCCTTTTATGAAAATATTAAACACTTCAGGAGAGCCAAATGAAGCTGTATTAATACATGACAACAGAGCCAATATTATTCAGTAACAGGATAGGAAAATCCTGTTTAAAAAGAAAACATTATTACTATAAAGACATCTTATTCAAAGAGTTATGAAATACCATATAAGTACATGTTACTTTAATTTTTCTCAGTGTCTTTGTGGCTGTAGTCTCTTTTAAGCAGTTTTAACATACTTTATTCTTTCTATAGTATGGTCTTTCCCAGCTTGCTGACATGTTCCTAATTTATGTGCTTAAAATTAGTAGTGTGGTGTTTTCTACTTCTTGCTATTCGTGAAGATCTAACTTGTCAGTGGAGCTTTCAGAAGGTAATTTATCCACCACAATTGCATATCCATTAAACAAAGCTTAAGAACAGACAATCCTAATGGAGTTTTCATTTATGGATCCTTTAGGCTTCCCCAAGGACAGTGATCAACATTAATTAAAACATCTTGAAGTCTGTAAACCACAATTACTTCTGTATCAGATGCAGCAAAGAACTATGAATTATCATTTGAAAACAAAGAGGATGTACGAAATTTCTGCTTTCATGCAGATGCCACTTTAAAGCAAGTATTCTTCAGAGTCACCACAATTAATGCAACTCATTGCCCTGGAGAACCAGTGTTTTATATTTGTAATTTGTTATGCAAGAGAAAAAGAGAGGCCTCATGATATATGTGGTAGATGTCATATTGCCTGCATGTCTAGGGAATGGAGACTTTTTCTTGAACCTCTCCTGAAGTGGTAGGAAGGTGTGCAAATTAGGGATTTGTCATGTATTCTCCATGGAAATATGTATATGATATGTAAATAAAGATGTCATTTTGAACTAGTGGGACTTTCAAATATTTCCTCCTAGGTTGGACACCGAGGGACAATGAGAGACTATCCAGGCTTTAGCCCATCAGTGGATGCTGAAGCTATTCGTAAGGCAATCAGAGGAATTGGTGAGTGATGTTTTACAATTCCTCTCTTAATGTTAAAGCAAAGCAGGAAAGATACAGTCTAAAAGTGCCTAGGTTTGCCCAAGTTGGCTTACTCAATTAGAGAAATTGTCAGGATTCTTTTAAATCATGAAATGATGAGGAAAGGTATAGGGAAACCAGTTTTATTAAATCTTAACATTTGCCATATTTACTTAATATTAATAAGTACCACCACCACTGTTGCTACCAACAGCAACAATGATCATTTCATAATAAATCATTACAGATATAGTCCTTCTCAGTTCTTCCTGGATCTCATCCTACTCTGTTCCCTAGAGATAGATATTATCCTAAATTAGAGTTTATTCCCATGCAACTTTTAATACTATAACTACATATGTATGTACATATTGTTTTGCATGGTCCCAAACAGCATAAAGGGGAATCATGCTGTGTACATTCTTTTGCAGCTTGTTTTTATTCTTTAACATTATGCTTTTGAGATTTATCCATGTTAATATGTTTAGCTCTAGTTCATTAACTTTAACTGCACAGTAGTCTATTGCATTACTATATTATAAGATGGGAATATTGATGGAACATTTAAATTGCCTACAATTCTTTTCTATTATAATATAAAAATACTGTAATGAATAGTCTTGCT